TTTTGGTCGATCATGCCATAATTCTTCTTCATATCATCTTAAACCATTATCAATAATTTTTGCTACTTCAGCTGATACTTTAGCTCTTGGTGTATAATCACCTGTACGATCATGATTTTGTTGATTATGTTTACAATTTGATGGTGATGTTGGTGTTATAATAAGAATTTTATCAATATCATTATCATCATCATCTAATTCAAAATCCGATTGATCAGTTTTACTAAAATAAAAATTCTATTGAAAAAAACAAAATCTAATGAATAAACTAGATAATAGCGTACTGTTCTTCATATAGATCAAGTGTTAATGATGTTGTCCGACATCAATTTTGTGAACGAAATAAAGGTAAATTTATTTGTTTATTTGGTAATTCTTCACGATTATCTTGTTTTGATGATTTAACCTGAGATTGTTCTTTTTTTTCCTAAATCAAAAAGAAAAAACATAATATAAATAATTTGTTAAAGAATTATTTTTAAACCTTTTTCTTTGTTGGCTTTTTACGTCTTGTTGATTTATGATTCCAATCAATATTAGTTTTTGTTTCTTCTTTTTCTAGTAAAGATGTTTAATTATCTATATTTCAAAAATGTTTTAAAACAAAACGTCTCAAGAACAAGTGTGGATAAGGGTATTTTTCGGCTTTCCATAGATTTAAGATTTTTTATGAGAATAGAGTTACGATTGATGCTCAATCATATTCTACGGATCAAAACTGCGATAAGCAACATCATGGTTTTTGGAGCCTGGAGTACTCCCTCGAGGGATTCGAGAAAATTTTTTTTCTCAAGTTCGATCGCAACATACCTAGTGATATCGATTCAGGTAAACTGATTACGAATATGATATCCATAATGAAAACATGTTTAAGAATCTATGCTTGATTGTGCTCATTCTGTTTAGTTGAGTAGTCGATGCTGCTTCAACATGAAAGTTTGTGAGAATAAATAACTTTTGGAACTCTGTCCAGTAGCATTTTAAAAAGAGTCAAAAAAGTATGCATTAAGGTTTTCCAGAAGACTTTTGAAGATCCTGACAAAAAAATACACAAATCTCTAGAAAACTGAGAGCACCATTGTGTTTCACATAGACAGAAACCTACATACCCACATTTTCGAAGCAAAGTATGGCCGCTATGAAGCATAACAAAACTGGGTTCATACTAAAGGACATACGATATAGATAATACAAGTCTTTGCTCTCCTGATTGATGAGATCAACTAAAATTTCTGAAAATTTGAAAATATAGGTTTCTGACCATGTGGAACACGATGTCGCTGTCTTTTTTATAGAGATTTGTGTGTTTTTTGTTAAAATCTTCAGAAGTTCTCTGGAAAATCTTAATGCATACCTTTTTTGACTCTTTTAAAAATACTACTGAATAGAACTGCAAAAGTTACCTATCGTCACAAACTTTCATGTTGAAACAGCATCGACTCCTCAACTGAGATGAACACAACCAAGCATAGATCCTTAAACACGTTTTCCCTTGCTTATTAACTCAGCTCTACCCCGCAGGTAATACAATTCTATTTATTATGAATATCATATTCGTAATCAACTTACTTGAATTGATGTAACTAGGTATGTTGCAATCGAAATTGAGAACGAAAGTTTTTCTCGAATTCCTAAGGATAACTCCAGGTCCCGAAAACTGTGATGTCACTTATCGCAATTTTGGCCCCGGGGAATACAACCAAGCATCACTCGTAACTCGATTTCGATACAAAAATCTCAGATCCATAGAAAGCCAAAAAATAGCCTTATTCACCCTTGTCCTTTAGATTTCATACTTTGATTTTCATTCTTCCAAATTTTCCCGAGTTGAAAATCTGGAACATCAGGATTTAATGCTGTTAAATGATTGTTTACATCAATCATCAATGGCCAACGATCAGGTCCATTTCGACAATGTACCATACATTTATCATTAAGTTCAACAACAAGACTATCTTGAACTGTCTACATATAACAAAAAACAAAACAATTTGTTTTTTATATAAAGAAAATTTTCAAATTAACATTAGCAATTAATGAAAGTGGTACATAACTATCTTTAGTCATTTGTTGTCGAAGAAATATATCTAATTGAAGATTTTCTGAACTAAAATAGTATTCACTAAAGAAAAACAAATAAAAGATGATAAAAAAAATTTTTCTTGAAAAAAAAATCCACTTACATTTGACGTCGAAAAAGCTCTTTTAATTGTTGTTCAGTATAAGCAGGTACAATTGAAGTTACATACTCACCAATATCAGTAAAAGATATATCTATATCTGTTGGTAGAGTTGTAGGTTCATAATAATAATCACTTTCAATATATGATAATACAAATGAACATCATGTATTGTATTATTAATACCTGTGATAACACAAAAATAAATATCTATATGATAAGAAAGTAATGGTAAAATTCTATTTCTTTATAGAATCTTTTATTTCTTGCAGTGAAATTGACTTAAACGATAGTGGTGTAATCAAGAGGATTCACACATTCAATCGATGACAGAGAGGCTGCTCGACTTCTCCTTAATTATACCTCTAATAAACAGTCAAGTGAAGCAAATTTTCAAGAACCATAGACATTAATAGGTGACTATTGAATAAACAATGTATAAAGTAAAAGGGTGTGGGTGTGGGTGTGGGTAGGGTGTGGGTGTGGATGTGGGTGTGTGGGTGTGGGTAAAGAAGTGGCATCTGAACATACAGCCAGATCGAGCAACACTCGCACACCCACACCCGCACACACACACCCACCAACACCCCCACACCTCACCCACACCCCCACACCCACACCATTCTCCATATTGATCTCTAGGATTAAATATTGTATATAAGTTTTTCTATTACTTTAACATATAAACATTTTAAATATACTTTTCTTTCTTCATCAAACAATAAAAATATACAAATTTTTTCTTCTCTTGTGTATGTATCCATATGAAAACACTTTCATTTTACCCTAGATAAAAAATAAACAGATTCAAGACGACAAGATGTCCTCAACAAATTAAAAAAAGGTAGGAAATCTCATTTATTGGACACTCTTACCCATTATAAAAAAATACTTTTCATTTACAATTAACAAAATCAGGTCTTTACAATGCGATATTCATTAAACCATTTATAGCATAAACTTCTGTATAGATTATTATGGTTCGTTTATGATTTTTTCATAGAATTATTTGAACAGCCATACCAGAGTCAAAGCCAACTGAGGAGCTGATCCTTTCAGAGATCATGAAATTCTTGAGATCTTGGTATACCGAGACTCATTCTCATCCTGAAAAAAATTCCAATGCTTGAAGGACATAAACATGATATGCAGATTTTCTTTTATCAGTTCCCAGACGCGATTTATTTTCTAGAACTTGTCACTAAAGATCGTTTTAAATTATTAGAATCTTGACAATATTGATAAGTGTTAGTACAACTTGATATCGACATAACATGATTGAAAAAAAAGTTGTTAACCAAATTTTTGTCTATTTCTACCATATATTTATTGTAGATCTTGTTTATTGAAGAGAAAGAAAACTACAGAGGGAAGAATTAATCGATTTATTTTTTGTTTTCATAATAATGGTGTTATTTATTAAGTCTTGAGTTCCTCCATCTGGATATTTTGTTTTAGGATCTTCACGAATGGTAATTCTTTCTTCATCACGATTTTCAAATTCCCATTCATTGAGTTTCTTTCCAGTATTTTTGTCTGCGACTTTTTTACGCTAGACAGGTGGCGAATGATGGGGAATATTATTTGCAGTTAGGGCTTCCTGCCATGCTTTATCTCGAGAAGGACTTCGTGAATCATGTCTGTCTCGCGAGTTCTTTTGCGCGGTTGCGCACGATTCATGTCCTTTGTTTCCGCCACTTGACATTGTGTCACATGAACTAGAAACTAATGCAGATCATCTTAAATGAAAAAGCGTATTCTACTGCACATCTACCCTTTTCGTGATGGACTATAAATGGTTGACTTTTCTAAACGAACGATTATATCTAAAATTATTTATGTTCTTCAAAGTGATCAAAAAAAAATTCAAAGGTTAAAAGTGAATCAAAATTAAAGATATAATTAATCGATTATTATCTCAAAAAATCTATTGATTATAATTTGGTTTATTCAGCTCACCAGAATATATTTCTATTCTTGTCAAGCAAAAAGAAGATCTTTTTATCAAAAACAAAAACTACACACAGAAGAAGAAAGAGAAAAATGTCTATATCATCAACAATATCGAAGAAAATTTTCTTAGTTTAACAAGTTGAGTATTAATCATAGTGTTGAATGATAACTTTGAATCGATATGAAATCCTAAATATTTAAATGAATTTTTTCGTTGGATAGATTGATCTTGGTAGTTTATTTGAATTTTTGGAGTCTGAACTGTTTTATGATGAATAACAAATTCTATTGTCTTGTTATTAACGGATCGATGATTCGCTTCAGCACATTTCTCTAGTTTTAGTAGGTGGTTGTTTATTCTCGTTTGAATTTATATCGCTCGCTTCGCAAATTTAAGGTGAATTGATGGTGAGTATCATATAGCCAGATCATCAACATATTGATGAACTTCACGTGGACAATCAGAAATAGTTGGTAAATCAAAATGATTGACAATATAAGTTTTAGGTCCAAAACATGAATCTTGTGGAGTTCCACGAGATATACAAACTTGTTTTGATAAAAATCCTTGATAGTCAATAGTAGTTGTTCGATCTTTGAAGTAAGTAATAATCCAAAATAAAACCTACATATACAATTACTGAGAATGAATTTTGATTTAGAGATTAAGTTAATTGTTCCATAATATGATTAACTCTTGTTAATGTGCATAGGTGAGGTCTCGATTCAGATTGTTGAGGAGGTAAGATGTTGTTCAATTGTAACCATTTGTCGAAATTCAAAAGAAAAAATTTTTCATATATTTTACTAAACATGGGAAGAAGTGATATTGGTCTTAGTTGGTTCGCTGTTGGGCAGGATTATCCACTTTGTTGAGACATATTGTTCTTGCTTGTTTCCAACTCTTATCCCAAAAAGTACGCCTAAACATTGAGTTGTATACCGAGATTATGCTCGAGTAATAAATTACTTAAGTGCAATGAATAGGTCGGAGAGAAGAAAGAGAAGATAAAAGAAAAGTACGTTATGTAAGTATGAATGTGAGTGTATCAGTGGTGTGAAAACACGTTCGATCACTACCGATGCATATGAGAGAATGATTCCTATTTTTATTTTGTTTCTCATATATTTTCGATTTTTTTAATCTGATCATTCGAATTAGTTTTATCTTATTTGAGATGTGTGAGAGAATATAAAGAAAGAAGCATCTAATACTTGTTTTACTCATTTTTTTCGAGCAAAAGATACGATGATAGAGTCTGTTCTTAAGAATTTTGTTATCTTTATATAAAGTTTACATATCAATTTCAAAGAATAATTTTTTATTTTATTTCACCTTAAAATTATAAATTCAAACGGTAGAAATCTGCTATAATTAAACATTACATATTTGATAGTTTTTTTTAATATTCGTAAGGGATATATAGAGTATACTCTTCGATAATCGTCCTTGATCTATAATAAGGATAGTAAAAATAGCAAGTATTCACTCATTCACCTTAGTCATTTTTTTCGTTCTCTTACTGATGGACACTATTCATTGGAGAGAATTCGTATATGCATTTATCGTGTGACGCAACAGAATGACAGAAAAAAAAAATATACGCATTTTCTATTCTATAGATAAAATAACGTCATTCTTCTTTACTATTTTTTTTTCGTACGGTCGATTAAGCAAACAGTATACACTACTATAACGATGATGCATGTTGCTACATATCTAATATATATTCTCTGTTTTTGTAGTTATAATATATTTGATCATTTATTATCAATATGTCATCACCTTGCACAGTGAGCACTGAGCAAGTCAAAGCAACACGAGCATGGGTAGAAGCTTTTTTTAAAGAATATGATTCACCGGATATTCAAGGTTGGGTTATGAAATACTGTGAGCCCGATGCAATTCTGAATATGAGAGATTTATCACCAATAAAAGGACATAAAGAAATATGTGATTATGTAAAAGAAGAGCATGCTCAAATACCGATTATAAGACATGACATTAATTATGTACATGTTTTACCTGATCGAATTTATGTACAAAAGGATTCAACTGGCATTGCTACGAATGATCCTGAACGAAAAGAAATTACAGCTAAATTATTTTGTGTATTTTGGAAGAAGATTAATGAAGACAAATTAACATCATTAGATATTTATTTTGATGCAATTCATCTTCCCGAAAGTATTCAAATGTACATACCTAAATAAAATATTTAATTACATCATGGGACCATAAATTGACTATGTAGCTGGCCTCGATATTGATTTAAGCCTTATTTTTTGTAGAGTGTTTTTTTTTGCTTGTAAAGACAATAAATATTCAATTTTTTCTTCATATTTTATAAAATTTGGATCAGTAAATGTTAATGATTATTTAATCAGATGGCTGAACAGTTTTTAAATAATTCGATTGATTTTATTTTTTGGATAAATCTCTAACATGTTAAGAGCATCTGTGTTATTTTTTGTTCTATCATGAGTTACTTTCATTACACGCATGAATGAAAGACACTATTGAGGTGTTCATATTGAATTTCACGTTTACAAAAATTCTCTAAAAGTCTTGCTCATATTGAAATTGTAGGAAAAAATCATGCTAAATCATATTTCAAATAGATAATAAATGTGGAAACCTCGGATTTAAATCCGAGAGTTATGTGTACTTCAAAAAATGAATGAGACAGATGAGTCATCCTAGGATGTGCGGACATACAAATTATCCTGGCAAACCTTGTCTATAAACACTTGATTTCTATTGGCTACTGCTCAACCAATAGGATTTGCGGATGAATACAGCTCAGATTTGAACTCTTCACCTTGATTTACCCTAAGAAACTCGTTTTTCCTATAACTTGATTTCTATTGGTTACTGCTCAACCAATGAGATTTCGAGGCGAATGGAACACAGATTCGAGTTCTCCACCCCAGAAAACCTCGAACTATCATCTCTGTGATCGGAAGATAGAGCTCTAATTGTAGATCACATAGAGCGTAGACGAAAACAGAACCGAATTCTGTTTAATTATCTTTGCAATAGGTGAGTTAGCTTTCTTGTTTCCTTATGTTTTATATACCATTTTGTAGCTCGTGAAATTCTCTATCGAATGGTATATAATAGTTGGGTTTTATATGACTATGATAGGAAAAGTTTTTTATGAAAGCAGAGAAGGGTCTATCTTCTCATAGGGAAAAATGAGTATTTTTGCAATAACTCAGCAATGGTTCGGCCAATCATTCTCATCTTCGAACTCGACTGAGATATTGTTAAGACTAAACTGTGTAGAAAATTTCATCGTGATCGGACTCTCCTTTCAAAAGTTATCGTGTTAACGGCCGGACGGACACACTGACCGATTCTAGAGTGTACTCACTTTTTGAGTACACAATAATGTAAGAATAAAATTGATTTTCTACGAAAACATGTACTTGTCCTTGAGTGTAGGTTATTAGACGATTTTATCGTATTTCCATCGAAACATCTTTCCAACAAAAAGAAAAAAAATCTCTTCTTCTTTCTCTTTCTTTCATCTCAATTACTTTATCGACAGACAAAAACATACATTGGCATTGAAAGAAACAAAATTATACTCGAATGTTCTTTTCTGCTAGATTTAGTATTCGTCGAGTGAGACTATGATGACTGAGCTTTTTATGGTTCTATTCCTGGCTATCTTTATTCAGTTACACATAACGGAAAAGTCCAACATTGTTCTGTCTGTTCATCTTATGCACTTGATAGTGGATCGAAAGAAGATGACAAAATGAATCATTCCTACCAGTAGTACTAACTTGCCGGTCCTATCAAGTATATGAAAACATTTTGACGGAAAACTACGATGATATTTGAAATCAGCTCAGCTGAGCTGTATCAAATCATATATAACAGTGATTATTTCTGAGAAAAAATAGTTACCAACAGGGTGTAGATGTGGGTCTTAAGTAAATCTGCACGCACTCGATACGAACGTTTCGTACGGTTTTTTTCTTCGTTCTCTTCGATGGAAATCATATTCTTGACAAAAACAAAGCGACGATACCTTGTTTCAATGATGATAAGTTTTCTGATAAGATAAACGAAAGAAAAACTATTTAAGACTTCTATTTACGTAGGAACAGAAAAAAAAACTCGAATTCTCACTCTATTTAGAATGTGGTCATTGTATTACACAGTAATATTCGGTGTTGTTTTCGTCACTGGCGATCAATTGTCTGCACCTTACGATGTTCGAATCGATTATTATAAAGCTGAAACAACGAAAGATTTAGTGATTAACACGGGTCGGCCACGGTTTTCTTGGAAATTGCCTGTGACCAGCCAACGCAATGTTCGACAGACTGCCTATCAACTGCAAATCCGGTCGAAGAGTGTAGTTCTCTGGGACAGTGCTCATATCACTTCAAGTCAATCGATTCATGTTCCTTATTCATACGAAAAAGATCTTGAAGAATTGACTCATTATCAAGTTCGTCTTCGTCTGTGGACCAGTGCATCCGAAACAGCAACACCATGGACTTCGTGGATTCCATTTCGAACATCAATGTATAATTTTCATCAATACTTAATGGACCATAATGATGAAGTTAATTGGATTGGTTCAACTCAAATATACATGAATGAATTACGAAAAGAATTCAATGTTCCAAATACAAGTCCAATTCGATCGGCCACTATTTTCATTTCGGGTATTGGTTATTATGAAATGTATTTGAATGGTGATAATATTGATCCTAGTCGAAAATTGGATCCTGGATGGACCACTTATCAAAAAAGAACACTCTTCGCTTCTTATGATGTGACCTTCAAGATCAAAGTCGGTATGAATGCTGTCGGTGTGAAATTAGGCAATGGTTGGTACAGTCAGGAACAATATTTGCTACCGTCAATACCTGAACTTAACTATGGTAAGACTAAAAAAAACTGAACGTAGAAATCTCTATGTGCTCCTCATAGGTCCACCACGTCTGATGTTTGTTTTACATATTATCTTCGAAAACTCTGATCAAATGAACGTTTACAGTGATCAAACATGGAAAGGTCGACAAGGATCGATTATTCATGATAGTGTTTACAATGGTGAAACAGTTGATGCTCGTTATGATCGTTCTAACTGGGCACAAGTAGGATTCAATGATTCATTATCTCTTTGGATCACACCAGAAATCCTTCCATCGCCGGTGAATATCACCGCCAATGGACAACTAACTCTTCAAGACATGCCACCGATTCGAGCGGGACTCGATGCTCTGCATTTCGAAGTGGAACATGGTGTTGATGAGAAAAAAAGCTATTTATCGAAGGAAGAAATCGGAAACATTTTTGGTGCCTCATTGAAAGACGGAGGAATCTTGAAACCGATCAGTGTCTCGACACCTTTCTTCAATGTTCATACAATCGATATGGGACAAAATATGGTCGGTTGGTGTCGATTCAAATTCCGTGGGCCACGTGGTGTAGGTATTCACATTCGCCATGCCGAAGTTTTATCTCAACCGATCGTCTCCACAGGGTGAGTAAAAACTCAGTTCTTCATTCTATCTCTATTCGTCATTGCTGTTTCAGTCAATCCGATGGTGGACTTTATACGGACAACCTTCGTGGAGCAACTCAAAGTGATACCTATATTCTTAGTGGTGATCCCAACGGTGAAATTTATGAACCACGGTAAGACTTGATGCCGTTGTTTTCGATCTTTATCGATCATCGGATTTGATTAGATTTACGGTTCATGGTTTTCGTTACATAACGGTTTTTGGTTCACCCACTCCATTATTGATCAATGATGTCGAATGTCTCGTTGTTCATAGTGAAACCACAGTCAAAGGACATTTCTCTTCCAGTAATCCTGTGATCAATCAAATTCAACATAACATCTTATGGGGTCAATTGGGTAACTCAATGTCGCTACCCACCGACTGGTAAGATCAAGAACCTTTCAGCATGAGGAATATTTTACTTTCTTCTTAATTAGTCCACAACGTGATGAACGTAAAGGATGGATGGGTGATGCTGCTCTATCAGTCAATGAAGCTCTGTACAACTTTGATCTGATTGAATTCTATTTGAACTTTCTCACTTTGATTATGGACATCCAATTGAAAGCTGGTTTCGTTCCCGATACTGTTCCACTGACATTCGGTATTTATCCAGCTGACCCTAATTGGGGCACAGCTTTACCAACCATTACTTGGCAATTGTATCGTCATTACAATGACATTCAAATTCTTCGAGATCGTTACGCGTCGATTCGTGCTTATGTCGAATCGGTTCGCGATGGTTATCGAATAACAGGTTTAGCTGAACTGATCTATCATTACGGTGATTGGGTTCCACCGCCACCGCAACCAAAGACCAACGGTCATCTCGTTGCTTCATTCGCGTTTCTTCATGATGTTTCATTATTGATCAATATATCTCAAATCCTTGGTTACAGCAATGATACTCAAGCATACACAGCTTTCTATCAATGATTAGCAGAAGAATTTCATCGGGTCTTTTTCAAGGCTTCCGCTGGTTACTATGCTGACGGAATGCAAGCGGCACAGGTTCTCGCATTGGCTTTGCCCAATGTGGTTCCAGTGAATGTTCGCAATGGTGTTCTTCAACATTTACTTCAAGATATTCAAGCTAAAGGAAATCATGTCTCGACAGGTATTGTCTCCACAGCTCAACTGTATCCATTACTATCGGATAATGGTCATCATGATCTTGCTATGGAATTGATTACATCGATCACTTACCCATCGTATGGTTTCATGTTTAACAATCCGTATGAAAATGCCACAACTATCTGGGAATTATGGAATGCACCATTCGAAGGGCCGAGCATGAACTCTCGTAATCATCATATGTTTGCAAGTGTCGGTGCTTGGTTCTATTCACATTTAGCCGGTATTGATCTTCAGTCGGACTTGATTGTTATTCGTCCACGAATGATCTCTGAAGAAAAGAAACATCTTCTAAGTAAAATTGATTGTCAATTGAGCACATTGTATGGCTTAGTCCATATTTCTTATACTCGTGATGAACATGATACATTTGCTAACTCCATTTTACTTCGAATCACCATTCCAGCCAACGCTGAAGCGAAAGTAGTTTTTGAACCATTATTTCCCGATGCTAAATGTGTGACTGTCACCGAAGGTAATGAAGTGATTTGGTCTGTTGCTGACAAACGAAACAGTGTCATCGAAGATCCTCAAACTGGTCTGATGACTGTTCACATTGGTTCCGGTTCCTACGAATATCAAGTCTTTTGGAAATAAAAAAACAACAATCCAATAAACTGCTTAAAACATTGTTATTCTTGATCAGTTATCATTGCTTTTTTGTGATTCCTTCGACTGAAGGGAGGGTCATATGGAAAAAACTAAAATGCGTTTGTAGCCATGTATGTTTGTGCCAGGGTCAAAGGTTAAAGGTCAAAAAAACATAAGATCACGAAAACGGACTTTCACCTTCATAAATGACCCTATCAGGGTGTGGGTGTGGATGAAGAAAAGACGAACACCTTCACCCACACCCACCCACACCCTCTAGCCAAGTTAACCTATACACAATAATCATCTGTCAAATAAAACCTGTATACTTTTCTTCTTTATAAAATATAAGTAGCTAAAATACCAGCTGTTGATCTTGAACATCATATCTGTCTACTTTAACATTTCTTTTTTGTTTTTAACTTCTAATGCATATTAATAGTTAGTACATTTATCATCAATTTGTGTAAATGGATTTGTTAGAAAAAAAATCGTACTTCAAAATAAAGATAATATAATGACATTGTTGTTGTTATTTGTTTTTTAGGTGATTTTGTTGAATTTAACTATTAATATGTAAAATCTTTTGATAAATCTTCAATAAGTAAACCAAAATATTTTCTCTCGGTTGATAAATTACAATAATCAAAGATTTCATTTAATAAATTATTTTCTTTTCAATGATGCTAAACAACAAAAATAAAACTTTGATTTTCTTGTTTCAAATCTATTTAACTTAAATTAATATAAAATTTCGTTCAGTATGATCAAGAGCATGTAAAATAACTGAATAACAGTGATGAACATTTTCAAATTCACGTAAATTATATGAACGATATCTTGATAGTTTATTACTTGGTAAACATCTCAATGATATTACATGACGAACTAAATATGTTTTATTTGTTCCTATATTAAATAGATGTGCTGAAGATGATGATGATTCAGTTGTTAATTGGGACGACGGTAAAGATCATTAATTATTATTGTTGTTGATGAAAAAACAATTTTTTTATTATTATTCAATCTCGTAAAATTTTTTTTTCATAGTAATATCAATCTTGAATAAAGAAAGAATGAATTCAATTAACTATATATAAGATTAGATAATCAAGGATCCGGCCAAGCAAACATTTTAGAGCACTCAAATCAATATTTAGGATAGAAATGATTAAGTGTATCAGAAAGAAAAATTTGAAAGCTCATCGACCTTTTCTTTTATTCTTATTACGAATATGGTAAAGAAAGAATAAGAACAGTGAGAAACAGAAGGTTTCATGTGCTGCCTGCTAATTATTAAGCTGTAAGCGGCTTTTTTTTCTTGCAATTATTGTTAAGATGGCTTACTTCTCATGAAGAAAACTGACTCCTGATACGACTTTCTATTCTGTCAAATGCATTTACGAGAAAAGATTCCCAAATGATCCATCGCTTTTGCTCCCATATTTTGTCCACAAGTAGAAGACCTATAGACTAGAAAAAGTCTAAGAGAATATCTGTCCATGTTGCGATGTGGCTGGGATATTCAAATTTTACTCAAATTTCCCTGGAGGATCCTGATTTTCCAACAAAATCGTGTTTTCGAATTTTGACCTGAAACTTTGCGCACATAAAGCCTTCAATTAAACTAGCTTGTGAAAAAAAAATATCAGAATTTTTGGACATAGTACTACCACCGAGATATGAGCTTTTCAAAATATTCATGTTTTATACAATATTTATGAAAAAGCGCCTATATTTTGGGAAAATTAATATCTCGGGAATGTTACCACAGGACAGGAAAAAAATTCAATATCTTCAACAACAAAATAGAATCTTAAAAAACTAAATCATTACTTTTGTAACTCATGATCTGGCGATTCTAATGAAATAAGACACTTACTTCTATCTCCTGTTACAAAAAACTAGATCGGTTTACAAGGATGCTCACAAATACATGCTTTCAGTCTACTGGGCCTAATATAAACCACTTGATATTGGATTAAATAAATGCTTTCGTTAATTGCTTTGAAAAAGCATTTATTTAATCTTTCAACTGAGTTTTTTTCTGGATTGTTTTCATTAATAATCTATTTGATAGAATATCACTACTAAAAGAAATCCGAATAAAATCCAATATTCTTCTTATTAAAAGAAATTCAACTCATATCGAAAATTATTAGTCAGCTTAAAAACTGTTTTTGATGATAATGATGTTAAAAGTAAAAATGTATAATGATCAACATATGGTTTCCATAAATATTTACAACAACGATAATTACGCAATGTAAATACAGTAAAATTATAATCTGATGAATTTCAAGAGAAAAGTCTTTAGTTTTTTTTCATTAAGTAAATTATTAGAAATAAAAAAAAAACCTACAGATATATTAAACAACATACTTATCATGATAAGTAAAGGTGTTAATATATTATCTTCAGTCTCCAATTAAGATTATCTTTTTTCCGTACTATTTAAATGAATAAATACTTGCGAGATTTTTAAAAAGATGAACACCATATGCTTAACATTAAAAAAACATTTTATTATTCAATCCCTATGTTTTAAATATAAAAATTTTTCTTAGATTTATTTCCAATCTTTTTTACCAGAAATGTATTTGTATTAAGTTTAGTCGAATCTTGGAAGATAGGTATTTCAATAGCAC